AGACATGAGGGGCAAATGAACTGGATGTTGACAACTGCCACTCCCATCTGGTAAATGCTGTAAACAGTGGAGCACCATAACATTATGCATTGAAAATGCTATTGAAATGTTGGCATCCTATAAATACTGATGAACTGTAAGGTACATTTAGCTTATGTGACTCGTTGTACTTCATTTAAGGTGACGAGAAGGAGGACACGTGAAATATAAGTCAGCTCAGTGAACGACTGTTAAATAACCTTGTTTCAAATAGTTCTGCTTTCCCTTTAACCCATTTATTGTGTTTCTAAAGCAAGTTTGTTTGTTTTGTTTTTAAAAAAAATAGCATTATCACTTCAAATGTTCTTGTTTCTTTGCACTGAAGCTACACAGGTGACAAATGTGATTGGTTATTATTTGAAGTCAAACGTTATAAAACACACTTACTGGCCACTTCATTAGTTACACCTTCCTATTGCCTTCAGAAGTACCTTAATTCTTTGTGGCATAAATTCAGCAGGTTGCTGACAACATACCTCAGAGATTTAGGTTCATGTTTACATGGCAGTATCCCACACTTGCTGCGGAGTTGTCGCCTATTGTCCAATTTGACCTCTGTGAACTGTGGCCTCAGTCTCTTCTTTGTAGCTGGCAGGAAGGGAACCCAGTGTGGTCTTCTGCTGCTGTTGCCGGTTTGTGCTGTTTTGCATTCAGAGATGCTCTTCTGTATATATTGGTTGTTACTCGAGTTACAGTCACTGTGCCCTGACCTCTGTCATCAACAAGACATTTTTAATCAGACAACATGTTGTGCAGAAAAATCCAAGAAGATCAACAGTGTGAAGTACTCAGATCCTGGCACCACTAGACATGGCACGTTCAAAGTCACTTAAATCACAACTCGTCCCTATTCTGATCCTTGGTTTGAACTTCGTCTTGACCATGTCTATCTACCCAAACACCTCGAGTTGCTGCCATAGCTGATAATATAGGATGGGTTGGCTGTCCAGATATCTTAATTAACGTGACTGTTGAACCGGTATACCCAATAAAGTGACCGATGATCGTATACACAGTTTGTATTTGAATGAAGATTTGTTTCCTTTTTCACGAGGAGCACGTGAAGGTAGCACCAGTGACGCAACGCATGGGCGTGTTGTCATGGCTGTGTGCAGCAAAAGCTTTCAGTATTGTAAATACTTATTTGCCTTGAAGCAAGCCATGTCAGCGTTGATAGCAGGCAGCAATATGGAATTTTATTTCACTGCAAAATAAATTCGTGGAAAAGACCCGGTGAGTAGCTCCACCTATAAAATAAGCTGCCTCTTTTTTTTAATATACCAGTACAGGTTGGGCAAACATGAATTAGCTAGCTAGCATTAACGTTAGAGAAGCTAGTAATACGCAGAATCCAGCCATCCCTAAAAAAGCGACGCTGATTTCTGGTCACTGTTTTACCGAGGAAAAAAGGTCTGTGTGTGTGTCACGGCACAGTTTTGACTAAATAAGAACACAGATGTGAGTCTGTCCAGCTGCCTTTAAGATGAAAGGCTTCCGTTAATTTTCCTGTTATAATCACAGCATCTTTATACTGTGGTGAAGCTGCTTGAACTTCAGTTGTCAATTCAAAAAAGCCACACTTAAGCTAGAGCGAATAGTTTTGGACTGCCTTTAAAGTGTAACAATCTGTATAACATTTGCTATAATTAAGCCGGTAAATTGTGAGAGGTGTTTAGGTCACGCCTTCATCACATGAGAGGTCAGGGAGTCGATAAGAAGGAGGCTTACTTTCAGTTTGTTGGGTGTCATGGTTGTTTTACTGTATCCATCAGCATTGGTCAAACTTTATATTCACTGTCACCTGACTGAAAATGCTGAAAAAGACAGAACTGTGGGAGCATAAGAATAAAAACTATTAGAATGAATGATGGGCACTGTTAGAGAAATTATTTTGTTATTGATGTTGCAGTGTCTGGTTATCCTGACAGGTGCTAAGACTGTGGCACTGTTTTTTTTTTTTTTTTTAACACCTGTCATCTTTCTGGTCATTTGTTAGTGATGAATCAGAGCTCAGTTGCAGCTGCCTCACACTGGAGCAGCAACTGGTCATATAACTGGACAGCCACACCTACTCGGCAGCATAGTTTCAGCCCTGGTTCCACAAATCTACATTACAGTAATAACCTGAAGCGCCTGCTCGCTTTCCTACATCACGGTTGTGGCTAGTGTTTTAGAGAAACAGTTCACTTGACTGCGTTTGAGAACAAATGGGGAAAATATTATGTGGAAATACCCAAGGTAAGGTATTATGCTTTTTGATTTAACTTTTGGAAGAAGCTTGAAACTTTCTTCAACACATGGCCTTTTTAAAATAGCAATTATTAGAATTAATGATTTCAGTGACCCTGTTATGGTTTGTGTTTCCATCATTGTTGGCTGGAATGATACATTCTGTAAATGATGGAAAATATGGTGACCTTTTGAGTGTTTCCACATCTCTTGTCATTTCTTGTCTTTTTAAGTAGATTTTCTAACTAAGCTAAAAAAGGGGATTTTTGGCTGACAAGCATGCATAATATTGCATAGCAGAGCTTGATGTTAGTGTCACGAGTGCAGTAATGGGTTTAACAAAGTGTAGCAATCCACAGGTCAAAAACAGTCTAATTTTGCTGATGTTTTAGAGTGCAGCATTTGTGCCAGAAAATAGAATTTTTCTTGGGATGGAACAGCGCCTCAGGTGAAGAAAACTGCAGCCCAGAACTTCGCTAACCATTACCCAGTGGATGTGCTGTTTGGAGCACATTAAACATTGTGGTTGAAATTGGACATTACCCATTGTGTGCTGCATGTGAGAATGGACGAATTTGGACAATGACCTGACCTAGGATGTTACCCTCCCAGGTCTGGTTGTGGCTTCCTGAATCCTCACAAGGTAGCACGTGGTAATACCTCCCTCACTCGGTCTTCTAAATCTTCTTTTGGCTCTGCCTTTGGGAACAGCTTTCTGTCATTTCCAAAACCACAGCTGCCAGGATCAGCTGGTCCAAGTAAAGGCGTTCCAGTGTTTCTGAATCTTTTTTTTACAGCTAGTGATGGTGAAATGGAGCGTGAGGTTGAGGTTGAAGGTTTGAACTGTCACTATTTCTGTTATCCTGAGCTAAAAGTGTACTTGTATTTGCTAATGTAAATTGCCAAAATGACTGTTTTTTTGTGGAGTGGCTGGGCTGAGTGTGAGCCAAGATAAAGAGCTCCAACTTGTGGAAGGAGTTGCTTCTCCATTGTGTCCTGTGTTACCATTTTAAGTGATTTCCGTGTCTGATCAGGATTGCCCCTACTGCCTTGCATTTGAGTTTTTTGGGCACATCAAATTTGGGGAAACCCTGGGTTGGACAAAGAACACACTGCTGCTATTAGATCTCATCTGGTCTTGGACCACCTCTGGGTGTTTGTGGTCTGTGTGTTGTGGTAGCTTTCCTGCTGCCATTGTGATCTGTCAAGAAATTGATTGATGGGTGTCACTAAAAAGTAAAGTGTGGCTATATTTGCATTTAAGGGTGTAAGGGGAAACTTAATCAGATTTGGTTGTGGTGTCCAGAAACACAGAGAGCATTGCTGAGAAGGCTTTTTTTAACCCACTCTTGTAATTACACATGATTCTTCTGCTGCCAGATTAATTGCATGTCTGCATGCTCTATTTAGCTTTTGATTACCATAACATGTTGCATAGTTAAGTCATCTGACCAAAATATTATTATTTCAAACCTGGCATTTGTTTGTTTTTACGCTTGTAAAGGGGTTGCAACTGGAGAAACGGGTTAAAATCAGATACAGCCTCCTCTGTATTTATGCCACTTGTTGGGCTCATTGCCGTTTCTACAGTTTTCTAAAGACTAATTTGTAGCTTTGTGAATTACTCCTGGGGGGTGGGGGTCACTGGATATAACCTAGTATCAGACTTGGCTGATGTGCTGGAGCTTTAAATGATTACAGTGAATGAATGTTTTCACTCTGTGGAAAAACAAACATTCATAATTTTTCATCATCACACTAAATTTCCATACCGTTTCATCTGTAGTACGTTTGCATTCATGGCACGCATTTGGACTGAGCAGTGAGGACGCCTTGGTCTCATACTCCAGGCCTGAGTACCCAGGACATAAATAGAAGTGAGCGTTTGATTCTTTGCAGTGCTAAATGTGTTTGCTGTTCCCTGTTGTCTTTTGTAATAAAATCAAGGTTCTAAATAAAGCCAGTGTACCTGCTGGGACAGTTGGTTGATCAGACATGTCTTGCAGCTATATTAAAACATCTTTTTTCACAGCCTCTAACGAGGCTTTTATTTCAGCAGTCCTCCCAGTCTGGTGACATCTGATGACATGTTTGTGTGTGTTTGCGTCTGCTGGAAGAGGAACTGGGTGACTGAATGCTTCCTTTTATATATATATGTCTATTACATAGACAGCAGGAGCTTTGTTTACAAGAGTGGTGTAATAAACTTCATTATATGGCTGGGTCTCAAGTACTTCCTAAGCTTGCACTTGTCTTTTCGCATCTTGGCATTACTATCTGTACATTCATGTGTGTGCTAGCATGGACAGAGTGTCATTGGCTCACTTTTGGATCCATATTGGTGATGTCTCCTACAGCTGTAGCCACATTGGAAGATAATTGTTCAAAGCTAGGAAAGCATTGGGAATCTCTTACTCTCTCTCTCTCTCTCTCTCTCTCTCTCTCTCTCTC